TTTTTGATTTCTTTATATAGCCCAGAGATTAGGGCTCTGTCTGATGTATGAGGGATAAAGATTTGCTCCCAAGATGTATTCATCTCACAGATTGTTTCTTTTGCTGAGAAGATACGTTTTAGTTTGATTCCATCCCATTTATTGATCCTTGATTTTAATTCTTGCGCCACAGGAGTCTTATTAAGGAAGTTGGGGCCTAATCCCACATGATGGAGATTAGGGCCTACTTTTCTTCTATTAGATGTAAGGTCTCTGGTTTTATTCCTAAGTCCTTGATCGATTTTGAGCTGAGCCTTGTGCATGGTGAGAGATAGTGGTTTAATTTCATTTTGCTGCATGTGGATTTCCAGTTTTCCCAGCTAGATCTGTTGTAATTTTATACATTTGGTGTCCTGTAAGCCTCTTGTATTTGGTTTTTCAATTCATTCTTCATGTTTGGAAATTTTTCTGATACTATTTCATTGAAGAGATTGTATATTCCTTTGCTTTGTATCTCTGTGTGTTCATGTTATCCTATAATTATTGGAGGTTTTGTTTTTGGTTTCTTACAGTCTTCACTGTGTGGTCAATTTTATTTTCAAGATTGTATGTTTTGTCTTCAATGTTTGAGGCTCTGTCTTCCAAGTGATCTAGTCTATTGATGATGCTTTCTATTGAATTTTTATATTGGTTTGTTGTTTTCTTCATTTCAAGAATTTCTGTTTGGTTTATTTTCAGAATCTCTCTTTCTTTCTTTCAGTAATCTTTTGCTACCTATATTTGCTCTCTTTGTTGGAGTGATCAGTTGTTGCCTGTATTTGCTCTCTTATCCCTTTGTTGAACTAATCAATTGTCACCTGTATTTGCTCTCTTATGTCATTGTTTGATTTGCAAATCATTTTAATAATGTACATTCTGAACTCCTCCTCTTGACATTTCATCTACTGTGCTGGCAATGGATTCTATTAATGTAACATCTTGGTTTGTTTGGGGGTACTTTCTTCCCTTGTCTTTTCATGCTTTCTCTGTGTCTTCCCCTATAGCAATGGGAATCCAAGGTGTTATAGTTTCTATCCTATAATCTTGTG